GACACAGCATACGTCTAAATTGAAAGTTTCAGGAGTTCTATCTAAGGCAGCTTGTTGACCGATCTGTGAGAGTGTGCGAACATTGAGTGCGGTTTAGTGGAAAGGCGATTTTGGTTTCAAAAATCTGATAGCCTTTGAGTGGTCGGCCTCATTAGTTGAACACTGAGTGGTATCCGATGGGNGTAAAGCACCTGGAGAAGCTTCATGCTGGAAAATACGGTTTTCTAGAGCGCTACGAAGGATTTCTTCCATTGTGAAACCTTGTTAGATTCCCCTTGTGATGGTGAATGAGGGGCGATGCGGTCACAGATCTTGACCCAATCTGATGTTGAGTAGACGGCTTTAAGAAGGTTTACGTACTTCTCAGATTACCTAACACACAAGTCCAGGGGGCATCTGTATCAGGTGGTTCAAACAGCACGTGGCCAAAAAGACAACAGCAGTCGGTCTACCGACCGTTTGGCATTTTGAAAATTTGACGTGAATTTACGGCCAATGCAAATTCTTCCGGAGCGGAATCATGCTTGTTCCCTACGGATATGACGTTCTCTCATCCAACTGTGTCTGTGAAAGATCAACGATGTGATCACCTTGGATGTATATTTTATATATCTTCACGTCTGAGTCCGTATTGTGTGCCGACAAACCACGATACAGCGATCTTTAGGGAAAGAAAGTGGTCCGCAATCTACTCGTGGTTGCGATACGGCCAGATTGCGTAGGCCAGGTAGGCGAATCTTCTTGGGGAATTCACAACCGGAGCCTTTAACTGTACGAAGCCTGGCCAGCTAAGCGGCGGGGTAGTGTGTCTGTTGGAGGACGATGTCAAGTTTTTCGGATCACACGTCCTTTGGACAGGATCAGACGTTCAAGGTGCCCAATATAACTTGATGCTCAGTTGAGCCGGTAACAACCGGGAAGATTTGGATGTCTGGTTGGCACGCCTCTTTTTGTTTGGTTTGGAATTAGAGTTTTTTTAGTCAACTCCCTGTGGTTCACCAACCCGGTTCGAACCCCGAATGTGGGATTTAGTGGAAACGGCACGGTTCCTTCAGCAACTGAAGCAATCGTGGCGGGGACTCTTCTTGAAAACGGGGACAATGCCTGTCAAATGCCATTCGGATGGAATAGTTTCAATATTCCAGATGGTTTCGAATACGGAAGTTAGTTCTCACACAAGGCTTATATCGCTTTCTTTGAAAAGGGCTGAAGGGAACTAATATGGGCCGGCAATTCGAGACGTTTCAGAAGTTAAACGTCTCAGGAGACATCTTCCTCGGTAGGCGATGAAACGTTCACCGACCGTAGAGCACCCTTACGTCAGGAGATGGAGATAGTAATGCCGATGAACAGCAGACTTGTTGATGGATATGCCCCCCAGCGCTCCAGCCGACACTTATTTTTTTGTTACCGGTGACTCGGATTGGTCGAAAAAGCTCATGAGCATTACCGGAAGCAGCGGCTAGTTTTATCACGGATGCGTATTTACTCGCCAGGTCTCTTGCTCCTCTTTTGGGAACCGTTTCATTTCCGCAATTAGAGTCTTGAGAATTGTGCGTTTTTCATTACTTAGGGGGATGCTTCGACGTTCGTCAAGCAGTTCGACAGAAGGCACGAAAACACTGATGGACGATGCACTTGGTGGAGCTAGATGTTGTCGTTGCAGACCTGTATAGTTTCAGATTGTACAACCACTAACCGTGCACTTTCGTGCGCCGGTTTGGTTGCTGTCTTTCGGCTGCCCGTTTGGATGAACAGTAGGGGGAAGACAGGAAAGTTGAAAGTAGAGTCGAAGAAATAATGGAGAATTTCAATGGACTAAGGTCGTGAAGGAATTGAGGTGATGAACGAACGCCATTGTTTACTATAATCAGCCACATCACTCGGTGTCTCTAACCACCGCTTACGATCATCCCGAGGTCCCCATCCCGGGAGCCTAACGGGACCTATGCAACCGAGTCTCCTGGTTAGGGTTTTCATATGCTCTTGCCATGTCTTATTTTGACCGCCGTTGGCGATATTCCACTCACTACCTGACTCGACAAACATCGGACAACGTGATAACCTTTTTGATAACGTGCGCCATACATGCCCCAATCAACGTAATCCATGGGGGTCGATCAGTTGCTCCAGTGGGCGACCGCGGATACCGAAAACTCTGCTCCTAACCTCGGCATTGCTCCACCAGTCTCGTGCAGTGCGCCATAGACAGCAGTGTTCAAACAAGGACAGTCTATCTTTATCCTGTTTTCTCAATGGTCAAGTTTCTGCCCTTTAAGCAGAACTGGCCAAACTGCTGCAACATACACTAAACCCTTCACGGAGAGCCGGATAACGCGGTGGGACCATGTTGGAAAATGCCAATCGAGCCCGCTATATGCGAGTTGACACTTCATCTGTGATGCTTCCACCGAGTGAGATACAACTGCTCAAATAATAAAGCTGGTCCAGTTGTTCCATTTCTTCCTCAGAGTGAGACTAGTGGCTGGACCAACCCAGTCTTGTAGCAATATTTTGCACATGCATACCGAACATGGCTTTGCTGGCACTCAAGCTATCCAGAAAAGCTTGCAACTTTCCTGGATCTTCACTTAGCAGGATAATGTCGTCTGCATACTCCAGATTAGGCAGTTTGCCATCTGGGAGCGAATCGATGCCGCTATCCTCGCATGAGGATAGGAATGTTTCCAAAATCAAATCTGTGACAAAATTAAGTGTCTGGTGGTACGGATGTGAACTCACTGGCTATCGGACTGTCTAGATCAGCAGCTGACGTGTTTTGGTAGGTAGTGTCTACGTTTAGGTTGACCAGTTTCATCAGATCGAGTCTTCTCGGGTGACCTTGCTGTTTTCCACCCAAGCGCAGAGAGAATTTCGTGTACATGCGTGCATAAATTTAGCTGTGGCAGGTGCTCCATATGGCTTTGCAGTCCGTTATATGTTCTACTTAAGTCAAAAACGGATCAGACGATGGAGGTCCCCAGGTGGCACGTTGGTGTCATGGTCGTCGAAAACTGGTGCTTTTAAAGAATAGACCATGGTTAGCGCAGATTTGCATGAGACTGTTCTAACATAGAGGCTATCTTGGCCCCCGGTGTCTGACCATCCTGCTTACACGTTCAAGAAGCCGGCCGGTTCCACCATGTTAATGTGTCGTCTATTGTGGGAGAGGTTGATGAGCTAA